GGCTGCGGGGGAGCGGGGTAAAGACTGCAAGGGTGCAGCGCCCTTGCCGGGCCCTGGGGCCGTCAAAACCGACTCCGGCAGCGGGGTCCAGACCTTTGGGGAGCCACGTCGCAACAAAAATCCCGACGTCGGCCGTCTCGGGGTTGCCCCGCGCTTTCAGCGCCTGCAGCCTTGGCCTCAGCCCCCGGGTGTGGTCGCGATGCCGCTCCGCGCCTTCTCCTTGACGATCGAGAACGCTCAAAGGTCACCCACTCTCATTAAGGAAGCACCTTAATCCTATGTGAGAATTCAACACTCGAATTCAGGTGCTACTTTTTTAAAATGTATTTCCCCATAAACCGCGATGAGCAGCCCCAGTCGCCTCTCGTTGCAGAGGTAGGCCCGTTGCACATAGGGGGCTTGCGTCAGAGGCCAGAGTCCCTGTAGATTGTTGCTCCGATCCACAGCGCTTCTCGAGAAGCGTTGCATGTGGATCATAGCAAGACGAGCGAGGAAGCGGGGCAGGAGAGATGGCAAGAACGCGGCAGGGGGAAGGGACACTGCGCGCGTTGCTTTGTTAAGGGTGTGGGGAAGGAGCGCGCCTCTTACCATATATAGAGGCCGTTCAGTGCCCCAGGAGGGGGTCTCAGTCCCTCGGACAAGCGGTTCCGCCACCGCTCTTCTGAATAAACAGAGGCAGGGGGGGGATAAAAAAGGATAATGGTGGTTACATCGAGCGCGCCGCGAGGCGGGCCATGGGCTGGATCCGAAAACGCTCAAGGGTCCCCATTCTGGCGTGACGTGCGCACGGGAAGAGGTGCGCGACGTCGTCTCAAATCCGGGCGTTGCATTTGTGTTGTCGCACTGGGCTCGTTCGCCCGTTTTCGGGCTCCAGGACCATCACAGATCGATCCAGCTCGAAAAATGGCACAGACACCCGAACTGACATTTCGAGCCCTCGGCCCCGAGGGGCTCCCAGCAGGCCCCAAGAGGTCCCCAAGAGGTCCCCAAGAGGCCCACAAGAGGTCTCGAGTCTCCAGGAAGCCCGAAGAGGCCCCCAAGAGGCTCCGAGGAGGCCACAAAAAGAGGCCCCCAACATTCCTCCCAAGAGGCCCCCGAGAGCCCTCCGAAGAGACCCCAAGAGACATCCCTGAGGACTCTGGGCCACGTCAGCGTCGTCGTCGCCGCCGCCGTTGTCGTCGTCATCGTCGTCGTCGTCGTCGTCGTCTCCTTTCAGGGTCGGCGGCACCAGCCGTAAAGTCTTCGCAACATCGGGTCCAGGGTCAGGTCGGGCATGTCCCCCTACAGGGGGACTTTGTTGGACAAATAGCAAATACCCCCCAAATGCTCAAACCAGGCTCCAACATAGTCACAAAAAAAGCCCCCCCGACTATTTTTGGGTTAGTTTGGGGGAGTCCCTCCTGTAGAGGGACGTGCCCGACTCAAGTCCAGGGCTCCCGTCGTGATTTTCACGAGGTCGTGCAGTCGGGGCGTTGACCTAAGGAACCTAAATAAGGAACGAGGCCCCTTTTTCCCCTAAGTTAAACTTCGATTTCCCATCGAACCCCCACGCAAAACCAAAGGCGAACTGCAAAACAACTAAGGAACACCGAGCCCCTCCCCAACGAAAAGGGTTCCTTCCTCAGCGCCCCGACTGTAATGTTGCTTCGTCGCGTCGGATCTCCGGGTCGGCGGGAGAGGCGCGAGCGGGGCGCGCGAGGGCGACGAACACCTCGGGTGTGCACAGAGGCGCGCCTCTCCTGCGTCGTCGGGGCCCCACAGAGGGGGCCCACCTTGCTGCCCGCTGGGGCTCCTCTGTTGCAGCCCTCGATCCCGCCCCCCCCCCCCCTGCATCTGGTATCGCCCCCTCGTCACGCACGGAACGGCCGAGCGGAGGCTTCTGGCCCCATCTGGGGCCCCACCACTCTCCGAGAGCGGCGGATTTCGGCATCCCCAGTATGGCGGAAGTCGGCTGGCATTTCCGCCCGCGCACATATCGGGGTCGCGCACACATGGATTAGCAACCCATGGATTTGGCGCGCGGTCGCCACATCCATGGATCGGAGGAGGTGCCCTCCCCAAAATGCGGCCGAGGCCGCCTCGTTCGGCGGCGGAAATCCGCGATCCCCCATGGAAACGGGACCCGTCGCTAATCCACGCCCCCTTGATTCACGTTTGCGATCGCCTGACTGTGGCTCCTTTGTTGCAACCCTCGATCCCGCCCACCCCCCTCCCCCTGCATCTGGTATCGCCCCCTCGTCACGAAACGGCCGAGCGAGGGCTTCTGGCCCCATCTGGGGCCTCACGACTGATCGAGAGCAGTGTGGCGGCAGTCGGCTGGCGTTTCCGATCGCGCACATACGGAGCATCACGAGTTTCGGCGGAAGTTCTGCCCGCGCGGCGTGTCCCCTGGGGGTGGCCTTGTGCACCCCAGGGCTTCAAAAGGTAGAACCGAGGCGTGCTCCGCCGCGAGAAAAACAAGACGGCATGTGCCCGTCCCGTCGGCGGAATCTGCTGCTAGTCTTGCCGGCTGAAGCTCCTGGCTTGCAGCCCAGATCCCCGCTGTCCCTTCGGCAATCCGCTGACATTGCTGCCTCGCTTCTGTAGGCTAAGTACACTTGCGTCGACTGCTTTGGGGAGCCCTCTTCATGCCCCTCCTGCTCCTCCTCATCCGAGTCCTGCTCCTCCTCATCCGAGTCCTGCTACTCTCCCGCTTCCTCCTCCCCTCCTCCGCCTCATCCTCTTATTCCGCCTCCCCCCTGCGAACCGCCCTCCCTCGCCCGCCGTCTCCTCCTCCTCCTCCTCCTCCTCCTCCGCCTCATCGCCATCATCATTATCAGCATCATCATCATCATCATACCAACATCATCATCATCACCATCATCATCAGCATCATCGGAATCACAATCATGATCATGATCATGATCATCATCATCATCATCATCATCATCATCATCATCCTCATCCTTATCCTCATCCTCATCCTCATCCTCATCATCCTCCTCATCATCATCATCATCATTACCATCTCCATCACCACCATCACCATCACCACTATCATCATCATCATGACCATGATCATGCGGATCACCATCAACATCGTCATCATCAGCAGCATCCACATCATCATCTTCATCAGTATCACCATCATATGTATAATCAGCGTCACCATCATCATCATTGTCATCATCCTCTTCCTCCTCCTCCTCCTCGTCGTCATCATCCTCATCATCATCGTCATCATCATTGTCACCATCGTCATCATCGTCGTCATCGTCATCGTCGTCGTCGTCAACATCTTCATCAGCAATAGCAACACCACCATCATCATCACCATCAACTACACCACCATCATCATCATCATCGCAACGATCAACCTCACCAGCATCATCTTCACCCCATCATCATCATCATCATCACCAACATTACCCACATCCTGATCATCATCGTCGGCAACATCAGCCGCAACATAATCGTCATCAGCATCATCATCACCATGATCATCGTAATCATCATCACGATCCTCATCTCCTCACCACCATGATCATCATCATCGTCAGCATCAGCATCACAATACTCATCACGATAATCCTCAACATCATCACCATCATCGACACCACCATCATCACCATCACCATAACAGCCATCGTCGTCGTCAACGTCATAAGCAGCAAGACCATAATCATCAATACCAATGTCATCATCCGACTCCCCTCCTCCTCCTCATCATCATCAGCAACATAAGCATCAACATCAGCATCAGCAACATCATCAGCAACATCATCGTCGTCATCATGATAATGATCATAATCATAACCATAATGACCATCATCATGTCATGGCCATAGTCATCATCACCAACGTCATCATCATCGTCATGACTAACTCCGTCGTCGTCATCGTCATCATCATCCTCATCATAGTCATCACCATCATCATCATCGTCGTCATCATCATCACCATTACCACCGCCACCACAACGTCTCATCATCATCATCATCATCATCATCATCATCACCACCATCTCTACCACCATAATCCTCATCACAACCACCACCATAGGCAACAGCAGCAGCAGCGACATCATCAGCAGCAGCATCAGCAATAACATCAACCCCAACGATCACAATATCAGCAGAAGAAGCAACTGCAACATCCAATCGTCATCCCCCTCCGCCCTCTGCAATTAATCAATATGAATACTACTCTCCTCTCTCCCCTGGTGGCGTCCGGGAAATGTCCGGCCCCCCTCCGCGTACGGGTTTTTACATACAGAACTCCTCGGAGTTTAGTTTTCGATTGGGTTTTCTTTCAAAATGCTGCTCTCCCTGAAGCGCTGGCCTTCTTTTTCGGGCTACCGCTCGTTCCGAATCGTGCTCCCGCTGCAACACTGGCGTCATTTCCGCGCTTCCGCTCGTTCCGAATCGTGCTCTCGCTGCAGCGCTGGCGTCATTCTTTCCAGCGCCATGCCACGGCATGGTTTTCGGTTCTCCCAAATAAACCCCAACATCTAAAAAAATGGCCTCCCGAAGAAACCATCGGAAGTGATTACACACTCGATGTCGATTCATTAATTTTCTGGGCCGCAGAAGCCCCCCCCCCACTTTGGGGCGTCGCTACGCCATGTTATGTCATGCTACGCGTTAATGTTCAACACCATGCTATGCCATGTAATGCCATGCCATGCTACGACATCCGATTGTGCGAATAGAGAGGAGATCTACGTCATTGCAAGGGATGGGATGGAGGAGTACGACGTCAGATCTGACGCGAGCGCACCTAGCTTGCCCCCCTCCCCCTCCCCCTCCCCCATCCCCCTCCCCTCCCACTTCTCCTCCCCTGCGCCTTCCCCCTTCCCCCTCCTCCTCCTCTTTCTTCTCCTCCTTCTCTTCCTCCTCCACCTCCTCCTCCCGCGCCGCGGCGGCCCGCTCGAGCGCGCCGCCGCGGCTGGGGGCTGGATCATCACTGGTGTGCTTGCTCGAGGGGGGCGGCTTGGCCCGTCCGCCGCCCCGGTGTGCGCCTCAGGCGTCCACGGAGGCCCGCACGTCCGCGTCGGCCTCGGCGCCGTCCTCGCCGCCTCGCCGCGCGGCGGGGTGCTCCGACGTCGGCGTCGGCGTCGTCGCCGCCGCCATCCTCGCCGGGTCGTCTCGCAGCGCCCTCGGCGGCGGCAGGGAGCCGGGCCTCGGGGCGCTCGCCCGCCTCTCCCCCGGGCCCCGCGGGGGCCTCCGGGCGCCCTCGCTCGCCCCCTGGGTCGGGCAGGTCCGCCCTGCAGGCGGCTTCTGGGCGGACGAGGAAAACATAGCCAGCAGATGCTCAACAATAGTCCAGAAGACGCAGGACATCGTCCCCAGACTATGTGGGAGACTGGTCTTGAATATGCCTCCTGTGCAGGAACAGGAACATAGTGACGAAGACGCAGGACATCGTCCCCAGACTATGTGGGAGACTGTTCTTGAACATGCCTCCTGTGCAGGGACAGGCCCGACTCTCGACTCTCGCCGTGGGGGCCTCCGGGGCCGCGGCGGCGGCGGCGAGCCGACCGCGTCACGCAGGGGGGCAGCGCGGTCGGTGCGGCGGCTCAGCCCCAGCGGGGGGGGGGGATCCTGCTGAAATCGGCCACACAAGGAATCCTACGTTTGGTTGGCTCCACGCCGCCACCTCCAGATCCCAGCAGGGGCTGGGAAAAACTCGAGTGCTGCGGAGGGAGGAGCATCCAAGCGCAAAAGGCTCAAGCTGCTACCTGCGCGAAAAGGAATCCTACTGCAATCGGCTGCAAAGAAGAACTCCTCTCGAAACCCTTCTCTCTGCCCTGCGCCAGCGGGGCCTCTCCGCGAGCCTTGCTCCGGGGCGCGGGTCCTACTGAAATCGGCCACAGAAGGAATCCTACTGCAATCGGCTGCAAAGAAGAACTCCTCTCGAAACCCTTCTCTCTGCCCTGCGCCAGCGGGGCCTCTCCGCGAGCCTTGCTCCGGGGCGCGGGATCCTACTGAAATCGGCCACAGAAGGAATCCTACTGCAATCGGCTGCAAAGAAGAACTCCTCTCGAAACCCTTCTCTCTGCCCTGCGCCAGCGGGGCCTCTCCGCGAGCCTTGCTCCGGGGCGCGGGATCCTACTGAAATCGGCCTACTGTGAAGAAGGCCTCCCTGCAATTGCTGCAAAATCCTACTGCAATCGGCCACTCCTCTCGAAACCCTTCTCTCTGCCCTGCGCCAGCGGGGCCTCTCCGCGAGCCTTGCTCCGGGGCGCCTACTGAAATCGGCACAGAAGGAATCCTACTGCAATCGGCTGCAAAGAAGAACTCCTCTCGAAACCCTTCTCTCTGCCCTGCGCCAGCGGGGCCTCTCCGCGAGCCTTGCTCCGGGGCGCGGGATCCTACTGAAATCGGCCACAGAAGGAATCCTACTGCAATCGGCTGCAAAGAAGAACTCCTCTCGAAACCCTTCTCTCTGCCCTGCGCCAGCGGGGCCTCTCCGCGAGCCTTGCTCCGGGGCGCGGGATCCTACTGAAATCGGCCACAGAAGGAATCCTACTGCAATCGGCTGCAAAGAAGAACTCCTCTCGAAACCCTTCTCTCTGCCCTGCGCCAGCGGGGCCTCTCCGCGAGCCTTGCTCCGGGGCGCGGGATCCTACTGAAATCGGCCACAGAAGGAATCCTACTGCAATCGGCTGCAAAGAAGAACTCCTCTCGAAACCCTTCTCTCTGCCCTGCGCCAGCGGGGCCTCTCCGCGAGCCTTGCTCCGGGGCGCGGGATCCTACTGCAATCGGCCACAGAAGGAATCCTACTGCAATCGGCTGCAAAGAAGAACTCCTCTCGAAACCCTTCTCTCTGCCCTGCGCCAGCGGGGCCTCTCCGCGAGCCTTGCTCCGGGGCGCGGAGACAGAACCCCCCTCACCGGGGGGGGGGGGGGGGCGCGGGGCGAGGGTCGAGGCCTCCGCGGCCTCCCAGGCACTGGCACGGGGGGGGGTCGCCGCCGAGGGCGGCGGTCGCCGCCGCCGGGAGGCGGCCGCCCCCCCCCCCCCCCCGCTGGGCCTCCCAGGGCTCGTCGTTAGGATGCCCAGCAGCGTCGCCAGCCTGCCTCGACCCTCGATTGAAGTCGGGCGTGTCCCTCGACAGGAGGAGTGGCTATTCAAAAATAAACACACAGGTATCTGGGGACGATGATTCGACCCTTTGTTTACGATTGTTGCATATTTCTGGTGCATTCGATATTTTTCGTCCACAATCCGCTTGTGGGGGGACCTGCCCGACCTAACCCTGGATCCCCCGCTTGCACGCGCTTGCATGGATTCGGAATCCATGGATCTGGCGCGTGATCGGGGAAGGCCTTCCCCTCCCCCGAAGAGAATGCGGCCAGTGCCGCAGTGCCGCCAGCCTTGACGAAGGAAAGCGCCGATGTCGCACGGACGCGTGAACTGTCTCCGATCCACGCGCCTGAACATCCATGCTTTCTGATCCCGAATCCTTGATCCTCGACTTCCGGGAGGAGGTGGACACCCACTTACTGAGGGGGTCCGCTGGGGGTGAACGTTGCATTCGGATAACGTTGCCTTTTGGTTCACGTTGCCTTCCGGTCTTCGGATTATATCTCGGCGCTCCGGCGGCCGTTCGGAACGACCCCGGCGCCCCCAGAGAGCCCTCGGCGAGGCGCGGCTGCGCGAAGGCACCCCGAGGCGGGGCAGCCGCAGAGAGCCGGCGAGATCGCCTCAACACCTCGATCCTCAGACTCGAAAGCCTCGAGCTCGACGACCTCAAACCTCAAACCTCGAGCTCGATCCTCAGACTCGAAAGCCTCGAGCTCGACGACCTCAAACCTCGAGCCCCCCAGCGTTGCCCTTGACCCACTGGGGGGCCTTCTGGCGCTGCCCGAGCCCGCGCCCTCCACGGGGGTCCCGGGGGGCCTCGAGAGGACCCGCCGCTGGAGGAGACGCCCAGAGATCTTCGGGGTACAGTCATCGGCCTGGCCTAGGGAACGATAACGATTGAGGGATGAAAAAACGACCCTACCCTGGGTTACAAGTGCGTGGTCTGTAAACCTCCTGGGAACCCCCGAAGCCTAGAGCCGCCAGGACGCGGCACATCACGCAGGGAGTACCCTGTCAACCCACGGGAGTTTCAGCGCACAAGGCCTCGTAAACCAAGGTAGGGGTGTTTTTTTATGCCCTTGAAACCAAGGAACGAAGTCCCATGTTTTCCAAAGGATAACGCATCAGGAACGATAATGATCATAACGCATAAGAAACGATGGATAACGCATGCGAGCCTGCGGGAACAACCGAGCCCCTTCTGAGAAGCAAAAGTTCCTTATTCAGGCCGCTCTCTGTAGGATCGGTCAGCATGGAATCGGGAAGTCGGAGTGAAACTAATCGGAGGCGGAATAAAATTGGATCGCCATGCAAGCCTCGGGCCGCACCAGATCGTCGGAGCATCGGAATCGAATCGCTATGGTGACGTCACCGGGCTGGTAGGAGGGGGAAACAGTATACGTTGGTGTGAACGTCTGTCCCCCGTCTATACAGGCCTCCTAAATGGGGCCCGCGTATTTATGGTCGGAGGATCGCGCCGCATCGCCGATGCATCGGCGACGCATAGACGATGCATCGGCGACGCATAGTCGACGTCGGCGATGATCGCCAACGTCCGCGTGTAGAAGATCGGGTCCAACATTGAGCCGCATCGCCGATGCATCGGCGATGCGGCCCCGATGCATCGGCGATGCGGCCTGCACAGAAACACGCGGCGCCGGATGCATGGGTCCCTGCGGCGTAGCCGGGCGCGCACCCCGAGATGGCCGTCTCTGGAATCCCTGAACCCAAAAATGCTCCCGCCTCGCGTTTGCGTCCCTTGACCTTCCAGGATGGGCGACAACCAGCAACAAAGCCTGACACCCAGCTTCCAGTCCAGCCTCGAAGCAGTCCAGACAGACGGCAGATTCCGAGAACCCTGAACCCAAGATGTGCTCTCATCTCTTGGTCGTCTATTCGTAAGAGTGACCCTGGGTAAGAGTGACCGTTGGTGCGCGACTTTTGGGGGGCCGCGGGGGAACCAAACCTGGGCGCGCAAGCAGTTGCTACTGCTTCGTTTTCAATCATCTGGGGACCCATCTGTGCCCGCACCAAAGGTCACCCCGGCGAAAGGTCACTCTTACGATTAGTCGACTTGGGGGCGCACCTTTTACTTCCGCCGCCTCCCGCAGGCCTCCCGCAGGCCTCCCGCAGGCTTTCCGCAGACCTTCCGCAGACATTCCGCCGGCGGAGGCGGCCTCGCTTCACGTCCGCCGGCCCTCCGCTGGCCACCCGCCGAGGAAGAGGTGGCCTCCCCTCCGGCCCTCGCAGGCGAGGCCCCTGCTGAAACGCCTCAGATGCAGGCCAAAAGGTCTGGGGTGTTCTTTTGTGTCGCGCTCGGGCAGGCCTCTCACTGGGGGATGGTGGGCCTGTTTCCCACCACCACCACCGCAAGTTGGAGGGGGGAAGGAGGTGGAGGAGGGGGGAGGGAGGAGGAGGGGGAGGGAGGAGGAGGGGGGAGGAGGAGGAGGAGGAGGAGGAGGAGGAGGAGGAGGAGGAGGAGGAGGAGGACCCCCTCCCCCTCCAATCTATGGAGGAGGAGGCCCCTCACTAGGCCCCGCGGCCGTCCAGGAGCGCCTCGGGCTGAGAGGCCCGCGCCCGCGGCAGCCTCCGCCCCCGGGCGCGCCCGGCGGCCCGGCCGCCCTTCCGGACAGCCAGGCGCGAGCCTCACCCCAGCAGGTCGGCCTCTCGAGGCACCGCCCCCGGGCGCCCAGCGGCCTGGCAGCCCTTCCGGACAGCCAGGCGCGAGCCTCACCCCGGCAGGTCGGCCTCTCGAGGCCCTGGCCGGGGCTCGGGATTGGGAGTCTGGAGTGCTATCCGTGGGCGCCCAGGAAGGTCGAGGTCTTTTTGGTGGGTCGCTGCTCCCTTGAGCTGCGGCGGGCTGGCCCAGAAGGCCTACCGATGCCTCGGCGCCGACGCTCGCCGCTTGCCAGATGCCGCGAGCCCCACCACGGGTGCCTCGGGGCAAAGGCACTTCGGCCAGAGAGCCAAACTCGGGCTCGAGAAGGTCAAAGAGGCCGCGGCCTTCTGCTGGCGGTTCTGCTGCCGTGTTAGTTCTGGCGCTCTCCGCCCCAAGGCGGCGCTGCCGCTCTGCAAGCGAGGCCCCTCCAGGGGCGCCCCGGTGGGCCGCGGCGGCGGGGCGCCAGGCGTCGGCCAGGCGCGTCGTACGATCAAAAACGGATATTACGCGAGATGACATCGCGACCTTGCGCGGCGGCTTACGCGGGCCGCAAGCGCGGCACGCTGCATTGGAGACGAGGGCGCTTGCGCGCGCGCTTGCGCGGGCAGCTTATGCGCGCAAGTGTCGGCGCCGACGACCCCGTTCTCTGGCGTCTTTTAGCTGCGGAGGCTGTAGCGTATCTCGGGGATGCAAAAAGAACGGCTGACTTGGGCGAAGAGAGCAAACCAGACTATGCCGCGGACAGGTCCCGATGGTGCAAAGAAAACTTGAAAAATACTGGCCCGACAGGGCAGGAGTAACCAAGCCCCTTCGGGGCTTCCCCCCGCCGTCCTCGCGCCCGTCCCCCTCCTTCTGACTCCCTCGCCCTCCCCCCCGTCGTCGTACTCCCCCTCGTCGTCGCATTCCCCCTCGCCGTCGCTCTCCCCCTGGTCGTGGTCCGTTTCCCCTCCGTGCCCCCCCTCCCGCGTACGCGCGCGCCCGCGACGAGCGCCGACTTGACGAGTTCGCCCAGGTCCTCGGGGGCGAGGAAAAAGATGGCGGCGACGGCGGCGGCGAGGACCATGGCGGCGGCGGCGACGGCGGCGGCGAGAAAGACGAGGACGGTTGCAATGTCAGCGACAACGGCGGCGGCAATGACGACAGCGGAACAAAAAACGTGTCTTGAAATTTCGGGGGCGCTTAGTGCCGCCGAGGGCTCGATAGGGAGGGTGGGGGGCTCTGGAGGTTTCCGGGGGGCCTCGGGAAACATCCAGGGGGATCGGGGAGAGGGCCTGCTCTTACACTCTCATGTATCCCTCCTTTGTGTGAATATATATATATATACACACACATAAATACATATACACATAGATATATATATATATATATATGTATACACTCCTATTCTGCCGCCTAGCCGGCCGATAGCAACTTGATCCGGGATCTCCCATCCGAGCTGGCAACAAGCAATACCACATCTGTGCTTTTCGTCTCGGCATGGGCGCTTTGTCGTCAACGCTGCAAGCTGCGCAGCACAAGTGGGGTCGCGGCGCGCATGCCGCGCCAAAGGCCGCAATGTCGCTCTCGCCGTGGCGCGGCGCTCCTTTTTCTGCACGTCGTTCATTTCTAATCGTGCTCATGTCTAAGCGTGTTCGTTTCTGATATTGCTCCTGGCCTCGGTGGCCAGGGAGACGCCCAGGATAGAACAATTAGAAATGAAAGGATCTTGCCCCCCCAAGCAAAAATCAAAGAACCTTCGAATGATTAGAAACGAACCTTGTGCAGAGAGCTGAGCTGAGCCCACGCAGCATCGTCGACGCGTGGGCGGGCTACTCCCAGCCTGCCGCTCCCGCCCCGGCGCCGCGCAGCCTGTGCCCGACATGTGCGCTCTGCTGCCTTGGCGCGGCGGAGAATCCCTCCTCCTCCCTCCTCCTCCTCCTCCTCCTCCTCCGCCTCCTCCTCCTCCTCCTCCTCCTCCTCCTCCTCCTCCTCCTCCTCCTCCCCGCCTCCTCCTCGCCTCCTCCTCCTCCTCCTCCTCCTCCTCCTCCTCGCCTCCTCGGCCTCCTCCTCCTCCTCCCTCCTCCTCGCCTACTCCTCCTCATCTTCCGCGGCCTCCGCCTCCGCCCACTTCGTCGCCGACGTCGTGGTCCCCTTCCGGGTCGGCGGCACCGGCCGTCGGGCCTGCGCAGTCCGCGCTCGCCAGCTGTGGGGGGGGGGCCCGCGCGAGGTGGGCGACGCGCCCCCCCTCGCCCGGGCTCGGGTTGCACCCCTTCGCCGGGGGAGCGGCGTCGCGGCGCGGGCG